AAGTGGTACCTTTTTATCTACTTGCATTTGCATGCTTTCGAACTGCAAGGTTGGCAGGAGCTGGGACGGAGCAATGGGAACTCATCCCATTGTGCAGATTCGAACCGGCAACCTTTTGATCGACCAGCCCAGCAGCACAGTGGTTTAAACCACTACACCACCTGCAGTCCCAGGCTTACCTCCTCTTATTTTCTTGGTTAGGCAACACTTCTACCAAGGTAGCCACATTTTGCTAGCCCCACTCTGCTTTTATTAGCAGCCTGAAGTACAGAAACTGAGCTTCAGCTTTCCCCACACTTAGCAACACACTAGGCTGAATTCATCTGTGTGCAGGTCAGGCTACTATTAAAGAGACTGGTGCAGGACCAGAAAAATATTGTTCCCCAGCTCTCTATTTTGTTTAATTGCATTTGAGGATGTCATTTGAGGAAGGTAGGCATTATTGATTCAGAAGGTAAAAGCTGGCAACTGGTTCTGTGTACACAATTGTGTGTGTGTGGTGGGGGGAGGTACTATTTCAAAATAATAGAAATTGGACTACATTTCTAAAGTGTCTAAATTATGGATCAGAGGGGGCAATATCAGGGGGAACCCCACATCTTGCATCCTTATGATTTGTTTACAGCCTAGTTAATGGAATTCACTTCTATTTCACAATCAGGTCAATGCCTTTGTTAGGGCAACTCAATGGTCACAAGAGAGTATGCAGACTTCTGAGGTCTCAAGAGCTCTTCCTCCAGCCAAACTAAGTAACTAAAATGGGAAGGAGAAGAGCTCACATTTCAGGCATAGAATTGCCATTTGAGTGCCGCCTGAAGCAACAGTCAAGCTGTACCAGGGACTGTAATTATCTCAGGTCGCACCTAGGGCTGTTCCTAGGACTGTTGGCATGAAGACACAGACAATGGTAGTGATCCTCCATTTTTGAAAATACAAAATCCAGCTGCTGTTCAGGATGGTTTCTCTGCATATGGAAAACAAGTAGAGAGAAACTAGCTTCAGTGGATTTGTGAAATGAAATATACAGGCATACAGGTCAAGTTTATAAACAGTCATTAGCTTTAGCAGAGATGGACAAATGGTACTTTGCTGGACAGTTTACTGTCACTTTCACTGAAAGTTTTCAGCATCAAATTGTTTAGTTTCTGGTTTTTGGTTTGATGATGATGATGATGATGATGGAAGCCTTCTTACTGTGTCCTCCTGCCTAAAATCTGCTTGAATACTCACAACCATCAAGAGCCCACCATCTTTCTGGGCAGTTGATTCCATTGCCTGAATGTTCTAAATAATAAGAACAGCAAGTTTCCCCTGATGTGAATGGGATTTGACTTCTTGTAACTTAAGCCCATTATTTCCTGTCCTAGGGTCTTGAATGGTAGAGAACAGGTTGCAACCATCTTCTGTGTGACAACCCTTTAGGTGTTTAAAAAATGCTATCCTATCCACCTTCAGCCTTTTCTTCTCAAGGCTAAAAATCAGTTCCTTCAATCTTTCATCATGGGACTTAGTTTCTGGTCCGCAATCATCTTTGTTGCCCTTTTCTGTACTCATCCCAAATTATCCAAATTTTTCTTAAAGTATGGTGTCCATCGCTGAACACTATTAGCTGGGTCATTGCTCTCATTTAGAAGAAGAATTCTTATGATAGCCAATGCATGTATTCAGTATTTATTTATTTAAATAATTTGTTCATTTATATATTGCCCAAAAGCCAAGGCTCCTTGGCTGGTTAACAAAAGTTAAAATTCAGCAAAAGGTAAAACAGCACGCCCAAAAATAAAATTAAAAGAAGAAAACCATAACTGCAATTGCAATTCAGCACAGAAGCAAAACAACAGTACAGAAATAAAATGGTATATATAAAATCAAAGTGAAATATTTAGTTGGCTAAAATGCTGGAAAAATAAGAAGATCTTTACCGGGTGCTGAAAAGAATACAAAGTAGGCACCAGGCAGACCTCTTTGGGGAGCTTATTCCAAAAATAGGTTGCTACAACCAAAATGACCCTCCTCCTGGTTGTCACCTACCTCACTTCCTTTGAACCTGAAGAAGGACCCATGAAGATGACCTCAGGTTCTGGGTAGATATATACGTGAAGAGACAATCCTTCAGATAACCTGGCCCAGGCATTTTAAATCTTTGAATGTCAGTACTTGCACTTTGAATCAGGCCCAGACATCAACCAACAGCCAGTATAAGTGGAGGAGGACTGACATGATGTATTCTCATGAGCCAGTTCCCATTAACAGTCTTGCTGCACTGTTTTGGGTCATTTGACATTTCCAGACCATTTTCAAAGGTAGCCCCATGAATACTGCAATGCAGTAAGCCAAAAGAGAGGGCATGAGAAAATGGATCACTGTGGCTAGGCTCTCTGTTCAGATAGAGCTGCAGTTGGTATATCAGCTTAAGCTGATTAAAGATGCTGCGTGCAACAGCGTTCCTGTGCCTCACGTGACAGCTCTGGATCCAGGAGTGCTCCTGGGTCCTTCTCCTTTAGGGGAGTGCAACTTCATCCAGAACCAGTTGAACCATCCAGCCCCTACTAACAGCGCTTCCATCTTATCTGGATTGAGTCCTGGTTTGTTGGCCCTCATCCAATCCTTTATCATGCAGAGACACTGATTCAGAGCAGCCACTGCCTCACCTGGGTTTGAGGAAAAAGAGATGTAGAGCTTAATGTCATCTGCATAGTGACACCACAGCCCATACCTCTGGAAAACCTCCCCAGCAGTTTCATGTAGATGTTAAATGGCATAAGGGATAAAATAGAATCCTGTTTTAGTCCCTGGCATAACTACCAAGGCACAGAGCAATAATTCCCCAACAATGCAATGCCTTCCACTCCTAGCTCAGCTAACCTATCCAGAAGTCTACAATGGATGACAGTATCAAAAGCCACTGAGAGGTCCAGGAAAATCAACAGGGTCATTCCCCCATCTATCTCCCAACAATGGTCATCCCACAGGGCGACCAAGGCAGTCTCCATACCAAAATCAAGCCTGAAGCTTGATTAAAATGGATCTAGGTAAACAATTTCATTCGCAAGTACCTGGAGCTGTTCAGCCACCACCTGCTTAAGCACCTTGCCCAGGAAGGGGATATTGGCCACTGGCCTATAGTTGTTAACATCCTCTAGGTCCAGGTTAGGCTTTTTCAAGTGTCGATTAATTGCAGCCTATTTTAAACAGGCAGGCACCACACCCCAGCTCAAGGACACATTCACAGCCTCCTGGACCCAGGTAAAAATCCCTGCTTTAGTTGCTGTAATGAGCTATGAGGGATAAGGGGCAAGCATACAGGTGGTGGGCTGGACTTGACCAAGCACCTTGTCCACATTCTTGGGCCTCAGATGACAGCAGGAGATAGGGAGGGGGTCTGTAAAATGTCCTTTCACCGTCAAATTTTTTAGGTCATGTAGGTGAGAAAATGCCCCAGTTAGTATGGATTTCAAGCCTGAAAGTGAAAAATCATTCAGAAGAAAGTCTTCCTTCACTGCCTGACTCATCAGAAAGCGTTCTTAGATATTCTACTAAAAATATTTGCCTTTCATTGAGCAAACAAGAAAGGCACTTCAAAGAAGATCAGAATATTAAAGTTCACTTTATACCACCATCCTGCAAAATTTATTGAGAAAATCAGTAGAGTTATGATTATTGCTTATGGTTCATTTTTATTTATATACATGTGAAGAAAAATTAATTGCTAGTGCTTTTTAACTGTGTGAGAAACTATCCAATCTTATGAATATCCAACCTCAGAAAGAGATTCAATAATACTGAAGCTCTTTGATTTCCTGGAGACGTCAATCTTTGTCTTCCTTCATACCATCAGTCTATAGTGCAACAGATATGTAGTTCTGCATAATTTGATGCATGGAAAGCAGACATTTTCCATTAAAGAATTGCTTCTGTTTCATGCATGCCATTCACCCCATACTGAGAGAGCAATATATGGGTTTGTGCATTCTAAGCAGCTGGACATTCCCAATATATCCTTGGGAGAAGGTACTGGAGACTAAAGGTGCAATTCTATGCATATTTAGACAAGAAAAAAAGAATTACAGCTCCCAACAGCCCTCCAGCCAGTCATGCTGAGAATAGTAGGATTTTTAAAATATCTAAACATGCATAAGATTGTGCCCTAAATGAGCAATTACAGCCTTAAAGTTGTGTGTGTTCTTTTTGTCTGTGTTTATTTTCAGGCTATAATCATGCAAGTGCAGGGCCACCAACCCTAAATTTGTTCACTTACAATAAATCACATTGAGCTGAATGCAACTTTTTCCATGACCGGTGTGTTGATGGTTGCAACTTGAGTGTCTTTACTTAGAAGTACATCCCACTTAATGGGGCTTACTCCCAGGATTGCAGCCCCAGCAATTAAACATTCATAATAACCAACATCTGGAGGGTATCAGAATGGGAAGGGATGGTCCAGCAGTTCACTTATGGTAATGGCATCCTTTCACATGATAATAGAGATGGGCCAAAGTAAACCTTAGACACAACGTAATTTAAATATGCTTATACAACTAGGTGTTACTTTCATTTTCATGTTTGTTTTTCTTTCATTTCATTGTGGAAAATGTCAATAAAATTGAAAAGATGAACATGGATGTGCCCTATCGTTCTAAGTGGGCTTATCCATCGCTGGTCCCTTTCAGATAAGGAGTACAGGAGGAGGTTGCATGAGCTGAAGCATGCAGTACTGTAAGGCTCCTGAAACTACCATGGATCTCTGAAATTACAGCCGGCAGGAGGACCTTTAAGCATTAAGCTTCACCATGGAGCAAGCCAACTATTTGAAGGGGATTGTAGAAATTAATGGAGAAGGACAATGCCCCACAGCCACTTACCACTCATGCTTTTGGAGCCCAGTATCTGAAAACACATACATTTTCCTTGGATTTTCTTCCTCTATTCTTCCCAGCCAGGGTGACAACTCCAGGGCCTCATATTCTTTCTAAGATAAAATGTTTTTGCTTCTGTTTCAGGTGCTAAGCCTGCTCCTGGGATATGCTTTGAGAGAGTCAATTCTGCAGGGGATCCTTATGGAAACTGTGGCAAGGATTCCAAGAGCTCTTTTGCCAAATGTGAACCCAGGTACAAGATCTTTTTGCATGCAGTCAAAGCATGGGCTGAAGTCATGCAGGTGGTAGATGCTAAAGTTATTCTACTGACTTACATTATTTCTCCCCCTTTAGAGATGCTAAGTGTGGAAAGATTCAGTGTCAAGGGGGAGCAAATCGACCTGTAATTGGTACCAATGCTGTCTCTATAGAAACAAACATCCCACTGCAAGAAGGAGGCAAAATTCTATGCCGTGGAACCCATGTTTATTTGGGGGATGACATGCCTGATCCTGGTCTTGTCCTGGCAGGAACAAAATGTGAAGATGGAAAAGTAAGGTTTAGTAATCCTTTCCTGCAATCCAATCTCTCTGTGTGTAGGTCAACTCCTTAAAACAAACACACAAGAAAAAACTCATTTTCTCTATTTGGACAGTTTGGCAGACCAAATGAAGATGCTTATGCAAACAATTGCCCTATTTTAAGTATGCCCAAGTGTTGATCGAAAATGAATGACATCAGTTTATTGTTTAGCCAGAAGGCCTTAGCAATCAATTGCTACATAAAAATGCTGAAAGAAGAATTTATTGAGCCAGTGAAATATATACTGTCTGCAAAAATGGACATGATACAGCCAGCTACTGACAAATTACAGGCAGTCCCTGTGTTACAGAAGAGTTCCATCCCTGAGATTGTCCTTAAGTTGAATTTGTATGAAAGTCAGATCACATGAGTAACCCAAATGTTTGTCTTTGTGTGTGTGTGTGTGTGTGTGTGTGTACAAACCTTTCTATGCATATAAAAAGTAAAACTTAAGTAAAACACCTATATTCACTAAAAGATCTTAAATACAATACAGCATTGCAATAATGATAATAATACAGTAATGATAAAGTAGCTACAGTTAGAGAAAGAGAGAGAGAGAGAGAGAGAGAGAGAATCTGTGAGTATGGATGTAGATATATATTGTAAAAACTATAAAACTGTTCTTAAAACACTTTACAACATTCTTGAGGTAATATGAAGCCTCAAATTAACTGATGATGATGGAGATGGACCCAGTGCTGGGGAGTCAGGGTTTTATTGTCTTGTTGGAGTGGGGAACTACACACCCTACATGTGCCCCCAAACACACTGGCTTGAGTATGCTCAAGGCAATGCTTGCAATGAAATGCCATAAATACTGTGTCTGTAGGGAACTGCATGGCCAATGATGATGTGTCACCAAACACATTGCATAGTTCTTCGTCGTGGCCTCTGTGCATCACACATATGGGTACTGCGCCTGCGCAGTGCCTTTGGCTAGAAGATTGATAGCTAACAGTTTTTTGGCGGGAAGCTCCGCTCCCCCTCCCCCTTGTGGCCTATACAGAGCGGAGCGTCCGCCATTTTGTTCAGTCTTTGCGACCGCCATTCGCTGTGCCTCGTGCCACTTTCGACTTTCGCTTTGGCTATTCTTGGTTCTCTCTTTATATATTGCCCTTATACTACTTTCCCCTTTCTTCGTTCCCGCTTCTTTGTAGTTTTTCTCTTGTTATTTCTTTCTTCGATCTATCAAAAAAAAAAAAAAAACCAAAAATATATACTTACCCTCTGCACTATCTCTCTTCTTCTTCTTTTCTTCTGCAATGGCGCAGCGAGCGGCTTTCTGCAAATATGTGGATTGCGGGTCAAAAATGGCACCTACTGACCCGCACGACCTATGCCTCCTCTGCCTTGGAGAGGGGCATAGGACGGATAAGTGCGTTCATTGCCTAGCCTTCTCAAAGCAGGCTAGGAAGAACTGCGAGAACCGGCTTTGGAGGCTCCTTTGGGATAGGGCTCTGATGCAATCAGACCCACTTGTCTCCATCCCAAAACCTGGCTCCGCTTCTGTGGCTCCACCCTCATGCCCTTCGGATGAAGGTGCATCCGCTTCGGTGGCCCCCTCTGCTTCACCAAAAAAGAGGCATGAGAAGCGGAAGCATGCCGAAGAGAAGCCGACAGGCCATAAGAAGGCCAGAAAGGAGAAGGCCTCTAAGCCTCCAAAGAAGACGAAGTCCACGGACCGCCCCCAACATCGGGACTTGGAGCCAACGGGACCCTCGGTACCGGTGGCGGTTACGATACCGACCCCACCCAAACTGATCCTTCAGGAGGCCATGCGGGTTACCCCTCAAGGGTCTCCCCGACGTGCAGTTGACCTCCCGCTTGCACCCCTTCCAACTCTATGGGGGTCTATTTTGGATGGGGAAATCCAGGACTCCCCTCCTAGGGCGAGGTCACCGACACCGATGCCTGCGGTGACATTGGAGACAGAAGCTAGCCTGTCCCCACCAGGGAATCAGAGGAGCCACTCGGTAGAGCAACGCCTGGAGAGTTGGCTTCGTCCCTACTACCAACCTTTGGGAGACCCGCTCTCTGTGGGGTACTACCCTGCTCCCAGGGTGCAATCCTCACCTCCGCCCCATGACCAACTGCGATCAGTGGATCTGAGGAGGGTGCCACCTCGATCCCCGCAAAGCGGAAGCAGCCGCTCCTTCTCGCCGGCGGAGTCATCATCTTCTGCCCCACCATACTACGGTGCTGATTCGGATGACTCTGAAGTAGATTCAACCTCCCCGGACATCGTGGTGACATCCCAGGATCCTGCATCACCCGATGAGTCCCACGTCTCCTTCGCGGAGCTGATGTCAAGGCTTGTCCAGTCCCTGGACATCGACGCTGCCCAGCGCCCGGGACCGTCGACGGACAAGTTTTACGACGTCGTCCACAGGGAGCAATCGACCTCCATCATTCTGCCGCTCATAACCCCCCTGCGGCAGGCGATGACGCAGCCCTGGGACCTACCTTCACATCCTCAGCCGACGTCCAGGAGGTATGAGTCTATGTAAAGGGTCCGGGAAGAAGACATCCCCTTCCTGTTAAAGCACCCGAAACCAAACTCGGTGGTCGTTGAATCCTCGCAAGGCAGAGAGGCGAGAGGACATACAGCGCTGAGGGATAAGGAGGGCTGGAAAATAGATTCCCTGGCCAGGCGAGTCTATGCTGCCTCGGGCTTAGGACTTCGCATATCCAATTACGAGGCGACGTTGGCGCGATATCAATATTTTATTATGCAGTGCCTCCACAACGTCACCTCCACCCTCCCAGACCACCAGGGTGACCTTGCAAAGGTCCTAATCAAAGAAGCCATGCAGGTCGTGGTGCAGCAGTTGTCCATGGCACGTCACCACGTGGACACTGACTCCCGGGCCTTGGTCGGTGCCGTTTCCCTCTGGAGACACGCATGACTCCGGTATTGTAATTTCCCGGAGGAAACCAAGCAGCGAATAGAAGAGATGCCTTTTGATGGATCCGGGCTCTTCCATTCACGTACCGACCACAAACTTAAGAAACTACATGAGTCAAGAATGACGGCGCGCAGGATGGAGATCCAGTCACACAACAGACGTAAGTGGTCCTGGAATCGGCCATCCTACAGGCAGTCCTACCAGCAGAGACAGCAGCCGCAACAACAGCAACAACAGCGCCGCCACCCTCAGCCCCAACAGCGCTTCCAACAGGGCCGCCGTCGTTTCGACGATCGGAGGCAGCGCTGACGGGACTGGCGAACCACTCCTCATGCTCCTTTAATACCCACCCCCCTCTCATCTGGGGATCGGCTCCGAAGCCAACTCCCCATTTGGGAGTCTATCACATCTGACCGGTGGGTATTATCCATCGTTCAACACGGCTATTGAATAGAATGCAACATCGTTCCTCCATCGAGTCCGACCCGGTCTACTTCATGTTTGCTGGTACTTCTTGACAAAATACATCAACTTCTCCTTAAAGGAGCAATTCGTCAAGTATTTCCATCTGACGGACTTCGTGGATTCTATTCCAGATACTTTATGGTCCCCAAGTGGGATGGTGGTCTACATCCGATTTTGGATTTATGGGACTTGAATAAGTTTATTATACCGAGAAAGTTTCATATGACCACCCTTCAAAACATTTTGCCGTTGTTAAGGAGAGGGGATTGGTTCGCCTCGCTGGACCTGAAGGACGCCTACTTTCATATTTCAATTCATCCAACTTACAGGCGTTTCCTTCGTTTTGCTGTTGCAAACCAACTTTATGAGTTCAGAGTTCTACCCTTTGGACTGGCTACGGCTCCGAGAGTTTTTACCAAATGCATGGCTCCTGTCTGTGCCTTCCTATGCCTTCAGGGCATACACATTTACCCGTACCTCGATGACTGGCTGTTGGTCTCGCAATCCAGAGAAGAATCCTAGACACCATCCATACAACCCATACCTTACTAGATAGTCTGGGCCTACGTATTAATACAGAGAAATCTTCTCTTCTTCCGACACAGACGCTCACCTTCATTGGAGCCCGTTTGGATTCGACGTTAGAGAAAGCCTTCCTCCCTCAGGACAGACAGCAGACTCTCGCTCGCCATATCCATCGAATCCGACGAGAGAGAACGGTTACGGTGAGATCCATCCAGAGGGTCCTGGGGTATATGGCCTCCTCAGTTGCCGTAGTTCCACATGCCAGACTTTGGCTTCGCCCATTACAACTATTCTTCAACAAGGTGTATCATCCACAAAGGGACCCACAACCGAAACGGATTCGGATCCCGTCTTCCGTGCTCCACTCCCTGTGCTGGTGGCTGAAACCGACCAATCTCGTGATGGGAGTCCCCTTCAGGGCGCGACCTCCTACGATAACTCTCGGTATCGACACGTCTCTCCTAGGATGGAGGGCGATATGCTCTGGCCTGTCTACCCAGGGAACGTGGACTCATCTAGAATCCACGAATCATATCAACTTCCTAGAGCTGCTGGCAGTCTTCAAGGCCCTTCGTTCTTTCGAAGACCTCCTTCATCATCAGATCGTTCAGATAACTTCGGACAATATAGCGACCGTTTTTTTATCTGAACAAGCAAGGAGGGACGAAGTCACCGACCTTAGCCAGGCTTTCTATGAGAATTTGGGATGGGTGCATTCAGAGACACATTACTCTGATGGCCGTTCATCTGGCCGGCACAGACAACGTACATGCGGATCTTCTCAGCAGACACATCTTCACTTCACACGAGTGGGAACTGGATCCTCGCACGCACAACCACCTGTTCAGGCGCTGGGGGTTTCCCGATGTGGACCTATTCACTACCCAACAGAACAGGGTGTGCGAGACTTACTGTTCGAGAGCGGGAATCGGACAAGCATCCCTAGGGGACGCATTCATGATCCCTTGGGACAACATCAACTTTTATGCTTTCCCTCCGATCCCTCTTCTGATGAGGGTCATGGCAAAGATAGTGAACGACTGTGCATCGGGGATACTAGTTGCCCCTTGGT